TCTATGTGTTCTTTTGGGGGTTTAAGGCAGAGGGCAGTGGGGTGGCAGGGAGGGACACACACACACAGACACACACAGAAGATGTAAAGCCCATCCCTATGAACCCTGAGGGGATTTTTAGTGCCTGTGGGAGAGCTCAGCCCTCGGTCCCTGCAGCAGGGAGGGCAGGGCACCAGCAGGGACCTCAATTCCAGGGGAAGGGATGGACCCCCATGGCACAGAGATGCCATCCAGGCTCTGCTGCGCCTTCCAGAGAGGCTGACAAGTCACCAGCTGTGCTCAGGCCTTGGCTTTTTGTTAAAGAACAGCTACAAAAGCCTCATTTTTTCTCTTGCAGCAGCTGATCCACGCTGCCCTTCAGCGCCCCCAAAGCAGGGTGCCCAGGGCTGAGCTGGTGCCCTGGGTGCTGACCCAGCTGGAGATGCTGGACACTGCTCTCCATCCCAGCCATCCACTCCAGTCCCCTCCATTCACCCCCCAGCAACAATCACTATAAATATATTAACTTATTTATAGTGGCAACACACACCAGACCCTTCCCAGGACAAATAGGAACAGTTTAGGAAAAGGAGCTTAGTTAAAGGCAGAAGGAATTGGACCCAATGTCTCAGATTCTAAAAGAACCTGAGCTGAAAGACCTCATTTCATGAGCCCAAAGGGAGCACAGGACCACAGAGGCAGCACCACAAACAGCACAGGGTTTGTGCTCCCAGCTTTTCCTGCTATTCTGAGAAGTTTCCCTTCTAGGAACAAAAAAATTCTGTCCCACCCTAGTGACACTGCATTTTTAATTTAATTAAGATATTCATTTGAATGACGTGAAATTTTCTTTTGACTGTTTAAGATGTTTCATTTGAATTACATGTAAATTTCTTTTGACTGGTTCTCTCTATTAGAAAAGGGGGGGGGAAAGGTAAAAAACTAAAAAATCAACATTTTCAACTAAAAAACTCACCGTTGTACCACAGAGGCTTCAATTAAACCACAGCTTAAGTAAACTCAGTAAAGCATTAAGGGTAACAAGTACACAAAACAACCTCCTCTAAAGAGCTTGAACCTTCAAGGATACAAAGAAAACTAACAAAAAATCAAAAGGTCATTGCCATTTGATGAATTTATATCCAAAATTACACAACTCACCTACAATGAGAGAGAAAATCTGCAGTAAAGTGATTAATTAAATTAATTTGCATCTTCCACGACCTCTTAATCCTCATACCAAGGTTCTTTTTATTTGCATAAGCAGGGTAGGAAAGGCAACAATCTGAGTAATTCTAGCACAGATGTAACAAAGTACAGTTTTCAGTTGGAAGTGCCATCCTCAAAGGAATGAGCTTCCACCCTTCCATCCAAAAGTTCCCCAGCACCCACATCTCGTGTCCCTGCCTGTAATTTCCATAAAGGAAACACAAAATTCACTCTCCAGTTTCAAGGAACTACCAGGAACATCAAGAACCAGAACTTCAGCCATGAGAGAAGGGGGAAAAGAGATAATATTTACATATTTGATGTCTCTTAAACCAACCAATTCCACAGATACTAACTTCCGAAGGCAAGCAGAAATCCAGGATGAATCCACCACAGGAACACCAGAACCAGCTTAGTTCTCACTAATTCTGGTTGTGCACACAAAGTTAAAGCTTGCTGTGACATTTTGAGAGCTGATTCTGGCTCATGTTGTCCCAAACCTTGGAATGCAAGTGCTTCTGGATTAAAAATGCCATCCCAGGTCCCTCCAGCCCTGTGCTCCTGTGGAATTCCCAGCAGCACTGCGGGATCTGAGCTGTGCCATCCCTGTTAGTCAGAGGCATCACTCTGAAATCCAATTCTGTCCAGAGTTACACCGGAATTCTGGCTCAGAACATCACAGGAACCAAAATATTCCAATGTATCCTGCACACCTCTGCCAGCAGGAGAGGGCACACACTGCATTTCAGTGGAGAAGTTCCCTTTCATATGGAAACGTTCTCATTTCCAAGAGGGAGTGGAAAAATAACTGCAAGGGCCTTCGGATCTAAATCCAGTCCCCAGAGCAAAGGTCACTGCAAAAATGTTTTATTCAGCATCAGAACTTTTGGAATTCTTTCAAGGAGGAGAAAAAACCCAACAACAACAACAACAACGGGGCTGACATTTTTTTCCCACTGAACTATTTCTTGCTTTTCAAACAGGGTTACAAGTCCCCAGGATTTGGTGAACACCAGGGAATTGTGTCTCCCTCCAGCACACAGCAGGTAAAAAAGTGGGGAGAGAAACAAATAAAGGGGAAATCACTATATTGATGATGGTGTTACAGTTGAACTTGGTGATTTTAGGGACTTTTCTAATCTCAAAGATTCTGGAATTTTATTCCATGGAAATTCTGATTCACTTTGCCCACACTGCTTAGGCAGAGCTCTGTACAACACAAAGATGTTTTTGCAATTCTCCTCTCTCCATTTTCCTTTTTTCCCTTCTCCAGAGACATGAGACAATGCCACAGCCAGGTTGGTACATGGCAGATTTTTACACTGACCTCTCATTTCACACCAGGGAAAAACACCTGTATTTCAATCACTATTTAAAGAAAACCTGTGGTTCATTTTAAATTAACAGCAACCCACCATGAAGACATCCCTGAGCTGAAAATATCACCATATTTATTGATCCACATGGCTGCAAGGTGCACTTCAGAAATTACATTCCACCTGCTGCCAAGTCCCTAAGCAGAGGTGCTTTCCTTTCAAGAAGCTCTAGAAAGACCCTCTAAATAAATCTAAGCTGCTGTCCAGCAGGTCCAGAGCACACAGGACTCTCCTTGTTTGAAAGACAATAAAAAATGACCCCAGAGGGTGCATTTAGAGGCTTGGAGTGTGCAGCTCAGCTGTGCTTTGGTGCTGTGCAGGGGGGTGAGGATGACAGAGGAGCCAAGGCTGTCTCTGTGCACAGACAGGCACAGAGCACAGCTCTGCTGCTTGATTTGCATTGCATGTGCTGGTGGAGATGTGGCTCACAGGATTATCCTTCACTCCTCAGGCCCTGCTCCGCTGGGTGAGGAGGCAGAACAGAAATAACTGTGCAGAAATAACTCTGCCAGAAGGAGGAGCCACTCTCTTGATGCTGCACCACCAGTTAGTGGTAAAAAAAAATGGATATTATTTAGCTTTGAGTTTTGCTTCTTTCAGCAAGCCAAGCCTCCTCCAGACAGCGGGGCAGAGCTGGGATAAATTCTTCTCTCTGTGGCCTGAATCTGATTTAGTGACTGCCTTTAACTGAATGGAGCAGCTTTATCAGGCTGCAACCCTGACTTATCTCCCTCATCTACCCTGACTGAGCTCCAGAGTTCACCTGGAATGGACACACACACACACAGAAAGGGAAGAACCAACACACAAAAAAGAACTGCCAGACTGAGCCTGGAGGATGCTTCCATGCCAAGAGAATGTCTATTGCTGTTAGCAGGGCAGGCAGGAAAAAGGTTCTGGGCTCAAAACAAATTAGGAGAGGTCTAGACAAAGTTAGGAGAGGTCTTAGAACAAAGTAGAAAAGGTTGGGACTCTCTGAACACAACGGGTGATTTGTGATGCACATTTTACACACATTTGTTAGAAAGAAAAACCCTGTCCTTTCTCAGAGCTTCCATTCCATTTTACATCAGCAGATCCCAAAGCCCTCCAGGAAGCATCAGAATCTTCACTTTGCATGAGGATAAGCAGCTGGCTCGGGATTACAAATTCAGCTGGGGCAGGAACTGTCCCTGTCAAGGTCTCAATCCAGGGCCTTCCATCCTGAGCTGCTTCCCAGAAAATTCAGACTTGAGGCTGGAAAGTTCCCAAATGCACATTCATACCAAGCATCAACACAGCCAAAAATAAGCTTGAAATTTCATAGGAAAGGTCAAGATGGCACATCCAGGACTTCTGCTCCCCAAAGAGCTCATTTCACTGCTCTGGATTGCTCTGGCCCCAGCCACAGCTTGTGAGCACAGAATTAAAAGGCAAAACTATGGGGTAAAGGGAAAAGGAGAACCCATCCCCTCACCAGAGTTCCAAAATTATTTAGATAAACCCGGGAATTAAAAAAAAAAGGAAATTATTGCAGATCTTTATTCAAACTAGCTTCACTGCTCTGAATGCCAAAACAAGTCCACCAGAAGTACTGTGACAAATAAAGCTTATTAGGGAGGAGATAGAACAGGCCAGACACAGGCAGGCATCAGAACTGGCTCTAAAATCAATCCACTCCACCATCAGCTCTCTTGTAGCGTCTGCTTCAGGGAAAAGGAACCCTTTAACAGTTACTACAGAATAATCTGGGGGAAAATATTTTCTTGCTGGCTTTTCCTTATTTACTGCTCCCCTTCTGGAGCCCTTGTTTGTGTGCTCCGTTCTGAAGCAGCTCTGCCTGGTTTTATTTTCCCTGTCTGAGCCTTGCTGAACTCCAGATTTCAAACCCTTCCATGTCAGTGAGTTCCACAAGGAAGTTTTCTGAGCTCCCCCAAATATACACAGTTTTTACAGTGCCACTTCATGCTTTAACAAACTGCTGTTCTCCCCATTTATGTTATTGACCTAAAAACTAGCAAAAGAACCTAAACCTGGAACTGAAACTGAGTAATACACAAAGCTGTTCTACATAAAATTGCTCACAATCCCAAACCTGTCAGATTTAATGTTGCATTTTTGCCTTTCTACCCCTCCTTTTCCCCCCACATTTCTACAAAAATATTGCTCTTTTGTTAAAGAACATTAGTGAAGCTGCCAGGCTGCTCAAAGCTTTATCTGTCTCAGTAATCCAGTTGGATCCCATCCCTGGTGAGGAGAGAATGTTCCAGGTGCACACATGGAATATTTGGTCACAATAAAAACAGGATTTCATTTTAAAAATAAACATAAATTTTGTCAAGGTCCCCAAATGGCAGACATCAACAAATAACCAGTGAGAAACAATCTCTGATGATTCAAAGTGAAAACCAACAATTTTGGGATGCTTTTTCAGGAAAATGGGAATTCATCTCCTACCTGTCAATGATCACAGGGTCAGATGGAGTCTCATTTCTGTTGCCACAGCTTTTCTTCTCACAGCACCGACTGGAGAGGGAAAGTAAAGCAAAATTAAAGAACCAGTGGGACAGCTGAGAGCAAAGAGCCAGCTCAAAGTCTGTCAGAAAACCTTCGGCACTCGATATCATGCCTGGAAGGGTAAAAATTCTGCTTTCCAGAAGGGAAAATTAAGGGAATTGGGTGCCCAAGTCCTGGCTGGTTCAAGCTGGAGTTTGGCACTTAGCTCCCTGTAACCTATTCTGAATTACCCAGCCAGAAATGAACAGCAGTATGGCCACACTCGAAGCTGAGGTGATATTCATAAAGGTCTAATAAGTGATTAACAGATGTCATTAACAGGCAGAACCAAATGGGTTATGTGGGGTTAAAAGTCCATCAAAAGGTGTTAGAACTAACTATAAGCAACCTAATGGTTTGATATATTTCAATAATGCTTTTTATATTACTGTATTTTTTTTATTATTAAATATCTAAGTTTTATATGGTTACTGAAAACTTCAGCACTCCATGAAAAGCCAGAAACTGAACATATTTAGATCCTACAAAGGATCTGAAGAGAAGTTTTTCAGGTTGGCTTTTGCAATCCCTTTGCAATTGTTTCAGTGATAAACCCTTAAGCCTAAGTATTAATTTATACACATTCAGTGGTAATATTAATTATAATAAATAATAATAAAAAATGTAAAATCAATAGCTCATTATTTCCATTGATATAATCACTGACATGGGTGGTGCTCCTGCACACACAGTAGCTGAGTACCAGGAGTAAAACAGACTTTAAAAACAGTCCTTGCTCTGAAATTCTCACTTTTAATAATCTGAAGCAACAGAGAAGATTTAAGCTGTTTTCATGCTCAGGTTTTTTGTTCCAGTCAAAGCCAAGATTGGTCAGGGCGGATGGACCTACCCAAAAGTTTAAAAAGTCTCTATCAGAAGTCCCCCATCCCTCAAAAGTCACCAGATCAAATATTTTTCTAGAAGATATTTTCCATATTTTGCAGAGGTTTCTGTTCAAATTTACACACACGGGATGAAGAAATTTTGGTGGGTTTTTGTACAGGGGTGCTGAATAAATCTGCAAAATTCTCAAGCATTCTGAGTGTCAGAGCTTCCCCACTAGGGAGCAATTCCAAGCACAATAAGATATTTTTTTAAAGTAAATAAATAAATAAATACTAAAATAAGAAATAAATAAAATACTTTAATTCATTAAAGGCAGAATAAAATATTAAAGTGGGGATTTTTTTTCTTTATATTGCCTAATATTTAATTATAAATTCCTAAAATGAGCATTTACACAAAAAACCCTGTTTCAGCTGTGAAAAATGCCAACATTTCCTCCAGTTTCCAGGTAGTTCCTGCTCTGGGGCTGGAATTGCCCATCCACATGATCTGGAAGGAGCAGATCTATTTGAATAACAGCTCTAACTGTTTCAACATTCCTACATTCCCCTTGCCTCAAACCTGCACTTATTCATCGATGCTACTCCTTTTAAAATAAAAGGATACACTAAATATTTAAAAATCCCTGGGGCAGTCCCTGTAGCTGCTGTAAATTGTCATGGCTCCATCGACTTCAGTGCAGCTCTGGTAATTCACACCAGCACACAGCATCACTCTCCCTCCCTCTCCCAACTTTATTTTAAGTGCATCTTTTGTGGATTTCACTGCCCAACCAGAGTTTAGAAAGAATGGACTATTTTCATACCAGGAGCCAAGATGGGAATGCTTTCTAAAGGAGAAAATTATAATAAACGCCCTGAAAAAAGCAGAAAATCCTCTCAAAGGAACATCAGTTTGGGATGTACTTTGACATGTCCAGTACAGCAACACATGGAAAATAACATTCGGAATAAAATCTTTGCTGCTTTACAGGCCATTATAATAAAGCAAAAAAAAAAAGAAAATCTGTAGTGATTCCAGGGATGGTGGCACTTCTTGACAGAGCATTTTAGGATTAATTCTGTGAGACTGAGCACAATGTGGCTGGGTTCAGAAGCAAGTGCATCTTGTTTTATTTCTATTTCCACTATTATTGCAGTTCTGAACTTTGTGTTTGTAATATTCAAATATTTTCCCTCTAAAACTGTGGCTTGCAGCTGAAGTTCTCCAAATATTTCACTGATATCTACGTGCCTATCACAGCTGGGGAAAGATCTTTGTAAGTGATAGACTTTTTCCCCTTTGACCGTGGTATTTTCTGAGCCCAAACACATGAAAAAAAAATCTTGATGAGGGAGAAGAGCCACTTCCAGTGAAGGAATTACTGTTTGCACATAAATCAGAGTGGGACTGAGGATGTTTCAGCCCAACATTATAGCAAAAATACCTCTTAAATCTTTAAATCCCCATTTCCAAGAGTTTCACCCCATATCCAAGCAGTAACATTTCCACTTGGTTGGTTTCACAAGTGCTGTCTGTAACAGAATTGACCGGTTCCAATTTCAGTCCAAGCCAAAACCCCCAAACACTGGTGGTCCAGGATCAAGCCTTCAATATTCTCTTCAAGCAAATTATTGGCATAACTTCACCAACATTTACATTTCTGCCACAGTGTTGGGCTGGGAACACACTTTTAGAGACGCTCATTTGCTTAAGACAAGAATATCAAGGCTTAAGATGATTTTCCATATCTTTTCTTGTTATATTTTCTCTTCTAGTGAGATCTACATGGTGAAAGTGATGGTTTATGTTAAGAATGGTCCTGAAAAAATTAAAACCAAACGCAGAAAGTTCCCAGGGACAACCCCAGCCCTACAAACAGAGCACCCCAAAAACCCCATGCCAAAGCCAAACTCCCATCCTTTCCCCTCCTCGTGCTTGACTAAAATGGTTTTAAAATTCATCCCTCACCCCAACACCAAAAAAAAAAAAAAATTAAAAAAAAAAATCTGTCTCTAATTTCAAACTCAAATAAGCTCACAGCATGGTGGCCTTTGTTTTGTTTTCTTCTGCCCAACTCCTCCCTGCAATTGCATAACAAAAGTGTCTAAATTCACACCATCTGGCCGATAAAGACGCGGGCCCCAGTGGCCGCCTGGCCCAGCTGATTAGAGCTCCCGTCTAGTCTGAGCCTTGTGGCGAAAGTCACAGCTGTGGGGCTCACTCCACTCAATACAACTCTGTTATTAGCCAGCTGTAGACCCTGAGACTACTTCTGTTCGAATTATAATACCTTTTAACCCTCTGAGCATTGAGGGCGTAGGGGGCTGCTGGCAGCAGCATAACAACGAGTTTCCTCTTAGTGGATAATTGGAAGAAAAGGAAGAGGATGGAGGGGGAGTTATTCCAGGAGAGGAAGGTGTTTTACCTTGATTTCCAGCCCTCAGGATGTTTTATTCCACACAAACACACCTAATAGGAACTGATCCTATTAGGCCATAAGAAGCAAATGGAAAAAAAAAAATTCAGATTGGAAATGAATAAATGGAGGCTCGCACTGGAAGCCCTGAAAGCACTAATTATTGAGAGCTGGACTTTCAATGGCTGTGACAGATTGGTGCAGCCGTATCAATATTTAGACAACTTTCCTGCTAAGCAGGCATCTGTCACCGTCTGAGGGAGAGACGGGCACTTTCCAAGGAGCTCGTCTCCACACAGCAAAAAATATCTTCATGTGTGGTTATGTACAGAAAAATCCCCCCTAAAAATCCCTACCTTCAACCAGGGAGGATTGGAAGAGGAGCAGAAAGACAGACAGACCCTTCTTGTTTTCTTTTTCAGAAGCAGTAGGCATCAATTTCGACAGCAGAGTGGGTACAGTGCATTAAAATTTTATGTACTGTTCCTAATGCAAACTAAACTAGAGGCTTTAAAAATTGATGCTGCCACTTAAGCAGCACACAATGAGAAAGATTTGATTATTGTACTTAAAAGAAATAAAATAAAATGTCAAGTTTAACTAGAGTTGGAGCCATTCCCCTGGCATTATTCAAAGTGATGTGTGTAATGCCTCTTCAGAATACACAGCGTCCTGCTCAGAGATACTTCAGGAAAACACGACATTTAAAATCAAATGTCTTCATTAGGTTACAGAGTGCTTTTGATTCCCTTCACTAATCTGTGTTTTACATGGGAAGGATGTCCCTGAGTTGTAATTCTTCCTTGGTTAATCTATCAAGCAGCAGAGCTGAGAATAATCAGAATAATAGCTTAGATTTGTGCAATGCCACCTTAAATCAAGCACGGAGGAGGTTTGCAGGCATCACTGGAGCTCAGAAATATTGAAGTTGAGCAGAGCATTTGATACCATAAAGGCAGGGAGAGGAAGCAAGGGGAAAGCCCAAATTAATTTTAAATCAAACACGTCCATTTGGATGAGAAGGTGCTGAAATACTTGAACTCCCAAACCAGAGCTGCGCTCTGAGCAGGGAGAGGGGAGAAAAGAAATGGGCTCACTGCTCTTATGTTATCACAAACCACAAGCCCATTGCACGAGAAATCAGACTTTTCTTCTCTAATTTTCACTGGTTATAGTGAAACCTTTCAACAGCATGGACGCATATATACATATATGTATATAATTATATACACAAGTTCTAAATGTGCCAGAAAGTCCCTTATCCACCTTTGATCTTTTCCACTACATCACCAGACCCTTGTAAAGCCCACCCAGTGCAACCCTAATATGTGATATACATGGTGTTTGGGCATAAATATGAAAATACTGCTCAAAAGCAAATTTACTTAATTAAGGAGAGCTACACACAACAGAGAAACAATGCATTTGTTTCACACTGAACACCTGATTCATATTCTATGAAAAAGTAACAGAATTGTTGACATAATTAAGTACTGAAACTAAGACTTTCCCTTGATAAAAACTCTGTTCAAATAGGCTTCTCTCACTGCTACATTAACTTAAAAAGGCTACTTTAATTTAAAAAAACAACAATCAGGTAGCAAGCTGAGCCATTAAAAGAAGCAACATTGAGTCCACCAGCTTAACCCTCTCCCACTGATACAATAAATCACAAACTGGGTATAATAAAGGTCACGAATGGGTTTTGTCTCTTGTTTTATGAACGTTCTATGCACATTTTAGCACATTTTAATACAAGAACATTGACTGTTTGCATTATTATATGTATTGAAAAAAAATTTAATTACCCGAGAACAGGAAAAGTAATAAGTTACCATGGAAGCACGACATACATACATAAGGTACATGTAAGTTCAGACTTAAACAAAAGTTATTAAAAACATCCTCAAGTCATTTCACCCTCTAATTTATAAATTTAAATGCTAAAAATAGTGTCCTTTTTTTTGTTTTAATTAAAAAGTAGAAGGCCCCTAAATATTGTTCACATGTAGAGAAAGGAAGGGTTTGAGGGTTTTTTTCTTGTGGGGTAGAACTGCCCAAAATTAAAGAACATTAATGATGCCACTTTAATTGAGAAAATGAAAATATTTCACCAAAGAAAATTGCATTAAGAACATCCTGCAGTTTCCAGGCAAAAATATATAAATTAAACTTCTCATTCTCATAAGGTGAGCAGAAGTTTTATGAGCAATAACCATATAAAAGTCTTGATTTAAACAACACATGCAAAGGCCTACTTTAAACAAAAATAGTGCAGCTGTGGTTGCTGAATCTCCTTCAGGAAAAATTAATAGCAAAAATGTAGGAAACCTGCCCCAAAAATCTGTTTGAACCCAAGCAAGCATTACCCACATAAAGACAGAGTCTTCCTACAAAAAGACCTTCTCTGAGCCAGCAACAAAATAAACAAACAACAAAATCAAAATCTCCCTACTTAAAATTTCCTTGGAGAGGCTCTTCCAACATCTTGGGAAGCAAAGCTCACAAAATGAGCTTGATGTGTTAATCAAGTCATCTTACCTGCACATGACTTCGTGGGTGAGCAGCACTCTGCACATCTCTGGGTTCTTGTTCTGCCCTTCGTAAGTTATGGGCTACAAAAATTAAGAGAAGGGTTAAGCCAGGAGCATCGGGGTTTATTTATTCCTTAGAATCTTCAGATGTGAGGGGAAGGGATTTTATCACCTGTAAACAAACATCTTCCCCTTTATGTGCAGGGAAAACAGCTTTACAGAAATATTGCTGCAAAGTGGATAAAAACCAACAGCCCACAGAGGGAGAAAAAAGAGACTTAAGAGCACAATTTTCAATTACTCTCCAAAATAGGTCTGCAATACAGCTGAGCAAGAGATCAAAATGAAACAGAGAAGGAAAAACATGCAAGGAAATGTTGAGCAAACAGGAAAGATGAGGTGGGACAGGACAGCATGGCACAGATCAGCCCTGCTCACCTGCTTGGTGACAGAATCAATGAGCCTCACATAGAGATCCTGTTCTGTCCTGACACCTGGAGCGAGGGAGAACAGGGATAAATCACATTGCACAGGCACCTTGCCCTGAGAGCAGCACAGCAAACGCGCTCAGTGCCGTGTCGGACACCCTCAGCATCCCAGGTAGTTCTGGTTCCCAAGCCCATCCAAACCCCAGGGCCCATCCCTGAGCTGAAGGGGCTCATGCAAAGGACTCTCGGTGTATTTTGGACACCACAGCACCCACGGGCAGACCCTGCTCGCTGCACAGCCCCAGCAGGGGCCAGGGAAGGGCGCTCACCGTTGCTGTAGAGCAGCTGGAGTTTGTAGTGCGTGCCATTGTTCGTCTTCTCGTTGCCTTGCTCCTGAAAGGGAATTTGAAAAAAGGAGGGGGCAAAAATCCTTCCAGAACTTACACTTGGCACATTTAAAATGCAAGAGCTGATAATCATGATGGAAGTGACAACAAAGTTGATTAAAATTCCAAGAGGTGAATCCACTGATTGGGATGTATTAACCTTCCGAGTGACCCAGGACAAACTACAAAATACTCCTGACATCTTCTCCTGTAGGAGTTCAAGAACTTCTTTCCCTCTTTTATTTGCCACTATGCTCTCAACTTTTTCAAGGGAATACATTGAGAAGAATTTGTGCATTTCAAATAATTTAATATAAAGTAGATTGACTCCAGGAAAACACAATGGCTTTTGATTTTACTGTGATCATCACTTTTCAATAGTGTTACTTTGAGTCAAAATTGATATTTATTTCCTGGACGTTGTGTTACAGGGATATTTCTTATGTCCCCTTGTAATGTAATTTCCTGTAAAATAATTACTTATGATTCACAGTTCAAAAAAGTCTTGTTCATGGCTAAGAAAATAACAGAAAAAATGCAAAGTGGTCAAGATATGGAATTAAAATCAAAAAGCAAATGCTTTTCAAGTCCTGCCATTGACTTTGGAGCCTTAGGAAATACATATAACCACACTCAACAATAATCTGACATATTTACAGGTCAGATTCCACTTCTGTTTGGGTACTAATAAAACCTGGCAGATGTGGTAGGTAAAAAATGCTAAGTGCATTTATCCCCCATGAATTTTATTTATTTTAGTTTTAGTGGGTGTATGAAATTCACGATACAGAGCAGCGGCTTCCAACCCTTTTTAACTACAGCAGCACACACAGGGTTACAGCTCTACCACAGCACCTGAACCTTGACCAAACCATGGTTATATTATTTCATAGGTATTAGAAGCTGGCAGCTCAGTGGGGGGAGAAGATCAAAATTGGAGAGGAAAAGAAGAAGAAGAGTAAGGAGCCTTACTTTATCATTTTCTACAAAGTCCACAAAAGCTGTCCTCTCTATTTCCACGGGCTGTCCCTGTCTGTCGTAGAGAGCCAGAACAAAGTGAAAGAAATTGGATTTCCTCAAGTTGGAGGGTGGCTGCTTTTCAAAGTGGGCTCTGGACAAAGCTACTCCGCTGTGGAGGAAACACACGGGATGGGGTGAGGGGGAGAGACAAAGACATTACCAGGTTGTGCAGCAGTAAGGGCAGAACAACAACAGCAAAGGCAGAGCTCGCTCGGACCGTCCCTGCCCTGCAGCCCCAATTTCGGAGTGGCCCCGCTCCCTGCACAGCCCAGGACACGCTGATTTACAGAGGGGTTGGTGCTAAAGGCAGCGAGTGTTTTCCTTGCCCCGCTTATTTCCCTGCCTGTCACCGCTCCTTGCCGGAATGCGGCGCGGAGGGAAGCGCTGTAAGTGCCAGAGGGGCTGGAAATGTTCTCTGCACATCCTGGTCCTGCTCCCTTTTCCTGGAGGAGAAAACAAGCGACCCTAAAAATCTTTCCTACGGGCAGGATGGCAACTCGGGACACCTCGTTTTGCTCACAGACAACGACTTTGGAGCAGAGCAGCCTCTTCCCTCGGCTGCAAAGTTTGACTTGAACTGATTCCTGTGAATCTTGTCCCTGACTGCAGAAAACGTTGGGATGTTTCCCACGCATTTCCCTGCTTCGAAAGATTCAAATGCTTCTGTTTACCCACGATATCCCCGACTGCAGCTTTATTTCTTTGTGAAATTAGTTGCAGTTCCCTGTCCCTAAAGCCAATTTCTACTTACTGAGAAGAAAATAGATGAGTACGAGCACCTCCAAATTACTTAATAGACAGATTAAGTCTATGTGCCCGACTAGTTAGGAGTTGGACAGCTTTGGGTTTTAGTCCCCAAAACAGATCCACGGCACTGGCAAAAGTATTTGGCTCTTTCAGAGCACTACAGATGTTTCCCTGTGTTTTCCTTGACAATGAGGTACGGTGCAAAATCACTACATCCGCCACAACTGCACCTAGCTTGGGGATTCCTCTCATTCTGCGTGTAAAAATTGGGATTTATTGGTTTGTTAGGAATATCTGGGAGAAAAACCTGGCGATGCCAGCGGGCTGCACAACACAGCTGCACCTCCACCGCTCCCGTGAATTGGAGTCTTGTCAGGAGCTGTTTCCTTTTACTTTCAGTTTCCTCGAGGATCAACCTCTTCCCCCTCAACCGTATTTATTAAACGCTCTATCGAAATTCATGAAACTCTGATAACTCCTCCCATGGTGCTTGGAAAACCTTGCTGCCAGATCAGGCCGTGGGTGGGGGCATGGATGTGCTATTTCTAAAACATCTGCTTCATCTGAAGTCCCCTCTGCTGTTTCATGCCTTTAACCTCGTCTCTAATACTAAATAAAATCCTGCTTACTCCTGGGGTTCCCAATTTAGTCTTGCCCGACTCTACTACTTTCTTAACTTTTTTTTTTTTTTTTTAAGTTATCCAGAGGGGCTGGAATTTTTTTCCAAGGGGGAAAAAAATTACCCCAAAGAGTTTTAATCATCTTACCCCTAACGGGAAGAGACGGGGATAACTGTCCTGTGCTGATTCGGCTGGGAAGAGAAAATAAAAAGGGGGCGTAAAAGGGTGATAACCCGCCCGAATAAGTAGAAAGCAAAGAGCCAGGCCCCAATTTCGGGATGTTCGGAGCCATTTCAGCCCAGCAGGGACCTCT